TATTTCGTTAATCACGGAGGCAGAAAATGTAATTCCTACAAGAAATGAGCGTAGGAAACAAGGTATAGAGGCAAACAAAGGACCCATGGAGCTTAGCAGTGAGGAAGCTAATGCCAATGCCAATGCCAGTGGGTGTGGGGAAGGGATGGGGAGGGTGCGGGCTGTACACCCTCGAGGGAGAGCGCACTGGGTCCTGTCCTAAGGACTTTAAGGGAGGAGATGTTAGGGGAGGTTCCAGGGGAAGATCTTAATAGAATATCAGCAGTTTTCCAGGTGTGTCCTGTCAGGGTCCTGGTCTCCACTGATTGACTGGTTGGTGCCAGGGTGGGGGTCATTATCCAATGCAGCTGGTCCTGAGGTCAGCTGTGGCTGCCTTTGTTGTTTTTCTGGGCCTGGAGCTGAAACACAACTGAGGCCTAAACAACATGTCTAGGGAGGAAAGGTCAGAGAGTCACCCGTGATATGCTAGAGGAGGAAAGGACATCCTGGGGGTGAGGTCCCACCTTACAGTTGTCTGTTGCTGTGCACCTGGGGCTTTCTGCCTAGATGACCTTCTTTACCTGGCCCACGGTCCTTGCTCTGCTCATGTCTAACTGCCTACCAAAGATGGATGGATGGAACAGTGGGTGGGTAAATAAAGGGAGGGAAGAAGGGATTCATGTATTGATTCATTTATTCAATGATTTATAGTTTGCCTACCATGTACCAGCTGCTGGGATATTTGCTGCATCAGTTTGTAGCACTTTGCAGCATCTGCTGCCATCCTCTCAGTGCAGGTGACAGGAGTGACCATTTTCTTAACTGAGGAGCCCTCAAAGGCAGATCTAGACTTGTCTTCTCTGTGCTTATAACCTGAGCTCAGCACTGGAGTCCCTGGGAAATACTGGTAACTACTGGTTGGATAGATGAGTGAATAAGTTGGATAGATAGCTTCCTTCATCTAAGGAAGTTAGTGGTGGCTGTTGTATTTGTTTGAAATAAAGGAAAATCTGAAGACAATGCTAGACTATAATTAAGTACAATTAATGATAATTAATAGATATGTAAATGGTATAATTATTCATTATAACTCAGCTAGGAAAGTTTAATTACTAAATCAGACCCATTTCTCACCCCATGGTTTTGCTATCAAAACTCCCCAGAAATCAGACTTACTCTGGGACTTTATACTTTTAGCTTCTATTGCTCTTTCTCAGTGGGAAGTAGGCAGCAGGCTGGAGCCTCCAAGTGCTCCTGTGAAGCTGTGGTCCTCCCAGAGGCAGGCTCTCTGCTAGTCCGGTCCAGCTGAGACCCTTTCCTTCATGAGAGAGACCAGGCTCCAGGGACCACAGGGCTCTGCTCATTCTGCTGCACATGATCCAGATGGCAGGCTGGCACAGTTGAATGGCCTGCTGCAGAATCCTGGCTCTGCCACCTCCTAGCTGTGCAACCTTGGACTACTCATTTGATGCCACTCTGAGTCCTTTGTGCCCTCTGGAAAATGAGGATAGCCCTGGGGCTCTTGTTAATAAACCCAGGATGTCCCAGGCATACTGGGAGGAGATGGTCTCTCTAGGCTGATGTTGACCGAATTGAATTTAGAGAATCTTCTGACCCTTCCGTGACCCCCTGGGGCCTTCAGTTGGGGTTGGGGCTGCATGTCCCTTGGTGAACTGCAGGCCAAGCCAGGCCAGGGGTCCACACCCCAGAGACCACTGTCTGCAGTTCAACATCTCCACGGCGCCGTCAGCCGCCTTGATTGTGCCGAAGAATTCCAACCTTTAATGGAATTTTCCTTTGGTTTGTGTTTTTTCTCTTGAAGAACATTTGCTGCTGATTTAGTCCTGCTTTAAAATTCTGTCCAGTCAAGATGTTGTCCTGTTTTCATCTCTGTGTGACTCTTCTTTAGTCATTTCCTTTCTTCTCAGTTCGCTTATCAGACGACATACACCACAGGCCTGGACTTTGTTCTGACATCTCCTTCTACTTAATCCCCGCGCTGTTTCTCTGCCAAGCAGATGTGTATTAAAATGTGCATAAGAAAAGAAGCAAGCTGGGCTTATTTAGAAATTTCCTCAATTTGCAAAAACTCCATTGGTATAAGAGTTTTTTCTATAAAAAACCACAACAAACGTATGTTAATAGCTACTTAGATGGATCAAGACAAATTCATACTTGGCCGTTTTTGCCCTCATCATTCTGGCCCCATTGCCAGAGACACAAAGCCGTGGTTGAGGGCGCGTGGATGCAGAGGCAGCCGCAGCACGGCGCAGCTGTCCTCTTGCTGCTCGGACCTCTTTGCTCACAGGAATGAGGGACTTGAACAGCCTATGAAATGGTTTGTCCAACCTGGAAGAGTTGGCGTTTATTTTTTTTTTGTAAAGTATATAACTTACAAGGTGTTAGAAATGAGTTCAGTTTTCATTCAGGTCCTTGGGTCTTGTGTGTATGCTTTCAAACAGCTTATTTTTCATGGGATAAAGGCATCTAAGAAACTAGCTTTCACTTACTAAGCTAAAGATATGGCCGCCTGGCCGGGCGTGGCTCAGCGGTTGAGCCTCGACCTAGGATCCAGGCGATCCCGGTTCGATTCCCGGTCAGGGCACAGGCCCAGGTTGCGGGCTCGATCCCCAGTGGGGAGCGTGCAGGAGGCAGCCGGTCAATGACTCTCTCATCATTGATGTTTCTCTCTCTCGCTCCCTCTGCTTTCCTCTCTTTGAAATCAATAAAGATAATATATATATTTTTTAAAAAAGATATGGCCATTGGGCTTATCTATACAAAGAGAAAGGGAGAGTAAATATTGTTCATTACACACACATGCACGCACGCAGACACACAATTATTGAAAAAATATTCTGAGCCCTGTTTTCTGGACTGGCTATTTTAGATCTGTCTAGTAACAGATGAATATACCTTTTGTTACCTTTTATGACACAGACATCAACCTCAGTGCCATTTGGTCTCGAGGTTTTAAAAAATAGGACTGTTAAGACAAGAACCTGGTGGGATGAAGGTCCCATATATCATGCGTCCAGTCCAGAATGGAGGGAAAGAATTGACCAGATCATGGTCAAATTCAAAGCCAAGAAAACGTGGGTTCAGCAGGAGTAGGATGAGAGTAGGTGGCACAGGAAAGCAACCTGTGACTCCTAATCAAGCAGTGTTTGCTCTGGGTCTTGTTTACAACATTTGGCTGCCTGTGGGCAGCCAGGAAGAACAGGAGGCCAGCAGGCAAATTCTTTCCACATCCCAGACAGTGGAGGAAGTGCTGGACCCAATGGCAGAGCCTGAAGATTTCCCAATCATTCCCCCAATAGGAAAATTAGATACTACTTCTAGGCTTCATTATTTTGGCCCTGAAGCAAATTAAGCATCTAAGGCCTATAGGCAGGTGTAATTTACGGGGATTGTGTTGGGAAATACCTGTCCAGAAGGTAAGAAACCTGAGTTCCTGTCCTGTAGCAAACCACTTCCTCACTGACAATTCCGTTTCAGTTTGAGTGACAATCAGCGTTTGCTTGAAACAAATAATTATAAAGTTCTAAGTAGATCAGTGTCATTGGGTTGATATCCTCAAGCCATCGTACTTTATACTAGCTCCTTAGCTGTATATGCATCGTGTTGCCATTTTTTCATTACACTTGGACTTGTGGATAGTGGGGTGTATGTATGGAATGGGATGTGAGTTCATTCATTTAACACCAAAGAACAAAGCCTTCACTTAACTTTTTATTCATCATAGCACAAGATAGAATTTTAAGAAACACCGCTTACTTAAAATGTCATTGCCAACATGAAAATTAAGAATAGCATGTTTTATAAAAAAAAAAATTTTCTATGATACACTTTCCCTTATGAAGTGAAAAAAATCTCATAAAACACTGAAGCGAATCGCCACCTGCTGGTCAAAAATAGTTTTACAGTTGAAAAACTTCAAGACTGAAGTATGGTAGAAACATTTTACAATACACACAATTACAAGAAAACATTTCCTCAGCCTTTGGTACAATGTAAATACAAAGCTGTAGTCTTTTTTCCAATATGATTTACTGTCAAAGCACTTCATATAATTTGGTTAATACTGATTATGGGGCAAAAGAAAAAACCATGTTCTCTAATTTGAATACTCTATTTAGATTCTTAATCACTTTATAGTTGGATTCCAGTTTGTAGTTTTGAAAAATACATAAAAGTTACACATTATAAATATATATTATATGTGGTCTATATAAAATTTAATTCGACCTAAAATGGGACAGCTTCTTAATTATTCTTTTTTTGTTAGGCACGGCCTTTCTCCTGTTTGATTAACTGAATCCTTTCTAAACAGATTCTAAAAATATATTCCATTACATATCAAATTTAATATTCTCCTTAAAACATATTCCATATGAAAAAGCATTCAGTGACTATTTTTTTTGTATCTCACTACTATACAAAAATATGGCTTCTCATATTCTCTTTTGTTTTGTTAGTGTTTTTCTTAGGCATTGAAGGAAGGGCTGTCCCTCTTAAAAAGCCATGGCAAAAGCACAGAAACCCGCTTGTGCATATTCTAGAACATTCTATAGAATCTCCTTGCTTAGTATAAGTGAAGTGATTTAAAAAAAAATCATTTTGTTTTCTGTGAATATATCATATACGATTATCACACATAATCTGTTACAGAATATACAATAGTCAAAACTGAAGACACATAAATACAATTAAGCTACACCAAAGCAAGGGTTTTATCTTAGAGCCAATGTGAGTAGTTTTTATATTGGAGACTGCCATCCCTTTATATTTTTGTACTTTCCTAATGCTGGCTATGCAAGAGTCTTATTATAATGGTGAGGGTACTAGTGCTCTATATCTTTAAGTGAACTGGGCTTCTCGTGTTATTTTTTAAAAGTGGAAAAGAAGAAAAGTAAGTAAGTGTCCAATTGTCCAATGCCAACTCTCACTCCGTAGGGACCTTCCCCTGAGGGTGAAAGAAGGCTGTTGGGACGCGGTGAGGACTCAAGCTGGGTGTGGGCTCATACCAGTGTTTCCGGGAGGGAATCGGGGTTGTCGGCGGACAAGAGCTCCCAAATTTGCCACCGCTCTCTCTGCCAGTCGAGCCAGTTGGGCTCGCCCACGGCCTTACTGTTCTGGTCGCTGGCGGGACTGGGGCAGGCACTGCTCAGTTTTTGCTGGGCAGCCTGATGTTCTTGCTCGGCTGCTTGGCTTCCCTCTTCCAATGCTGGTCCTGAGCCTTCCTCCGACCTCTGCCGCCTCCACAGCAGCGGCTCCGCTGGCTGGTGGGCCGAGGCTGAAGCTTGCTTCCCTGCGCCTGGGTAAGGAGGGGGCGGCCTGCTGTCATGCCTCGCGCCCTCTCGAGGTCTCTGGTGCAGAGGCCGGGCTCGGCTCTGCAGCCAGGCCACATCCAGCTCGCTCTCGGTGAGGTCTTCTGCGCTGCTCAGAGTCAAATACTGCTCCGACCTTGGCGTGGTCAGCTCCGATCTCCTGCTGCCGCCCTGGATATGGGGCGTGCTGCAGACCCGGGACACGGGAGGGTGGGCCCGGCACTCTGTGATGGTGGCTGTGGTCTGAGTCCTCCGAATGACCTGCATCCCACTGTCCAGTTCTGTGGGGCTGCCCGGCCACCGAGGCCAATTTGAGGACAGGTTCCCTTGAGAAAGGGAACATGGCCCCGGTCGGAGGGAGCTGCTTTCAAAAATGTCTCCATAGGAACCTGGAAGCCGGAGAGAGGGCGAGAAATGGAATTAGTTTACAGAATCTGGGTTGAGACGTCCTGTTATTTCCTTCCCTCTGCCAGCTTTGAAAATTGAAAAAGCACAGGACACTCTGAGGTGCCGCTTCCGAGTGAAAGACATGCCAAACACTTCTTGATTATTGACACAATTCCTGTAGCAGCTCCAAATACGGATGCCCAGATTCTGACAGGTTAGCCAGCAAATGAGACTAAACAGTCCTTGTCACTAATTGATGTTGCAGGGAGGGCCCCCTCGACCTGGCTATGAACACTTCTCTGTTCCGTTCCTGTTCAGTGCAATTTGCAATCCAGAGGAGACACAAATTATGAGGTTTTCATGCTTCCACTGTGTCAATAAAAGCTGTAGGAATAAATGAATTGAATCTGAAGCACTCATTTGGTGCCAGAAGATGATGAAGACAGCAGCCACTGTGTAACGCTACCACCACTGCTGTGGGAAAGCCTGGCTCGGTGATATGAGCCATTTCCAGGCATGGTCTAATTATAAAAACAAATTGTAGTCTTCCTTGCTTGCTCTCTCCCCTCAACTGCTAGCCCAGAATGGAGAGACTCTGGGAGACTCTGAAGCCTCTGAGGATGGAGGAACCACCGGCCATATGGAATCTGAGCCCATGCAGGCTTCAGACATGACCACATGGAGCAGAGCACCCCCACTCCTCCTCACCCTGCATAACACACATTGGACTGTGATGTGAGGGAGAAATCAGCAGATTAAGCCACTGCTGTTTAGGACTGGTTATTACAGCAGTTAGTCTTCTGGAACCGCTTCAACTTGCTTCAGGAAACTGATGGGAGAGCCAAACAGTGTATTTCCCAAGCAAATGAGTTCTTGGGGCCTGTGTCCCCAGGCTGCCTTTTCTCTATGGATCTTCCCTGAGCTCTCATGGCTTAAAAAGGAGGCAGGAAAAAAGCAACAAGATCATTTTAGGGGGAGATGGGTAGATGAACATTTCGACAGGGACAGCTCAGAGTTGAAACAGCAAAAGAAAAATAGAGCAGAACATTTCAGAGGAGTTGATCCTTGGGAGAAAAGGCAGTAAAGAACTTCATAGGATACAATTAGATGTAGCTAGAGAGTGGCTCAGAACTAAAGTCAGCTGCATTAGAAATTATTAAATTAAAAATGCGCTGTGTTTTAAAATGCAATGTGGAGGTGTTATAAAACAATGAGAATGGCACTCTATATATATTTGGAACAATAAAGTAAAACAGTTTACATACTTCATGCTATATATCAACATATACTTCAGATGGATTAAAGAATTAAAGTTAAAAGAATGAAATACTGTGAAAGTGAAAAGCATATAGATGACTATCCGATGCTTAAGTAGAGATTAATAAAAAGAGGTACTGATAGACTTAATTATGTGAAACCTAAAAACATTCCAGATATCCAAAGTGGGGAAAAAAATGCAAGGCATAATATTCGTGGCAAACAATATGGACAAAAGGTTAACATCTTTATTATAGGAAGAGTTCATAAGAATCAATTTTAAAAACATTAGCACACATAAATAGCCAATGACATAAATGATAATTCAATGGGGGGGGGGGATTCAGTTAATTAATAGAAAAACTGAAAAATGCTGATGAGAAAGAAATGAAAATGAAAATAACACAATGGACTACTACTCAGCCATAAGAAGGGTGAAATACTGCCATTTGCAACAACATGAATGGATCCTGAGAGTACCTTGTTGAGCAAAGTAAGTCAGATTGAAAAGGACAAGAACCATATGATCTCACATGTGGGATATAAAACTGAAAGCAACAAATGAACAAACAAACTCATAGACACAGACAACAGTATGGTGGTTACCACAGGGGAAGAGGGGTGGGGGGAGGGCCAAGAGGGTAAAGGGGGTGAAATATATGGTGACAGAGGGACTTTGAGTGGTGAGCACACAATGCAATATACGGGTGATGTGTTATAGAATTATATACTTGAAACTTACATAGTGTTATTAACCAATGTCACCCCAATACATTTTTTTAAAACAATACAATTTTGTTTGTTAAATTAGCAAAAATGCTGATAAGATTAAAGAGACACAGACAGTGCGGGGAAATACTGCCGCCACCTGCAGCTTACAGAGAACAAGCTCTTGGACCCTATAGGGAACATTAAGTGACTACACCTCTCGAATCTCGGAAAGGTTCATCACTTTTGACCCACTTGCCTAGTCTGGATTTATAACTTGCTTTCCAAAATTCTGTGGCCCTAATAATAATTTAAAATGCAAAAATGTACATAAAAGGGGTTCCTGACAGCATAATTTATTACAACAACAAAAATGGAAACAACCCAGTTGTCCAAGCATTGGGTGGTAAACGATGAGTGTGTACTCAGAAGTCCAATGTGGCACTGACTAATACTAATGGAGAACAGCTGGGAAATGGACGTTAAGTAATATAAAGTTGTGCAGACAGAATGAGTTTAGCCATGTTTAAAAACTCTTGCAAAGGAAATGAAATGAAATATAGTCACACATAAACTTATTTTGGTGGAAAGGCTAAGTAAGCATAACTATATCATTTCCCCCCTATTCTCAGCATTTTCCAAATAATTTTGACAAGCATGTAATATATGATAAGGCAAAAATTACATAAAATTAATGTTAAAAGGAAATGCAATGAACACTTTAAAAAATAATAGTTCACCTGTCATTCCTGGGTCTTTAGATCCACTTTTTAAAGTTGAATGCCAGGTTCCCCAGATATTAAAAGGTTCCTCTGATGTATCTAGGAAAAAATGTATTAAAAAGGTATGTAATTCACAATGAAAACTGAGGAGCAAAAATCAATACACAGATATTTTTATAACACCTCTTCTTGCAAAGTACTGTATTTGAGATTGTGATGGATACAAAACAGAATATGAGGCAGACCTTCCTTTCATGAGGCTTATTCCACTTGGGATTTACCAAAAGGCTCTTTCTATATTCTGGTGGTGGTAGACAGAAGGGCCCCCCAAAGAAGAACATGAAAGGATGTTATACTCAGAAGAGACTTTGCAGGTGTGATTACGTTATGGATCTTGAGATGAGGGGATTATCCTGGATTATTTGGGTGGGCCCAATGTCATCACAAGGGTCCTTATAAAAGGGACGCAGGAGAGAAGATGACACGTTGATGATTTTAAAGATGGAGGAAGGGGTCATGAGCCAAAGAATGCAGGCAGCCTTTAGAAGCTAGAAAAGGCAAGGAAACAGATTGTTCTCTAGAGCCTCCAGAAGGAAGACAACCCTATTGATCTATTGTAGGCTTCTGACGTCCAAAAATATAAGATAATAAATTTGTGTATAGTTTTAAACGGTTAAGTTTGTGGTCATTCATTGTAGCAGTGATAGGAAAGGATATAATGGTGAAGAGTGGCAAGAGCTCCAACCACATTAACATAGAGATAGAGGAACAACAGTTATAGTTCCCATATCCAGTACTACCCTCAGGAATACTCCGCTACTGGCATCAACAGATTCATTCCTACATGTATTATTCATACATCCCCTTAGTGTGTCCATAAATATTTACCGAGTAAGGTGCTATTTAGGTGTCCTCACCATCTCATTTAATCCTCACTACAATCCTGTGATCATAATGACTATATCTAGAAGCAAATGGGCTCTTCCCTATGTTCAGCAGTTCATATGTATTCTCTCACTTAATCCCAAGGAGTTGCCCCTGAGTCCATTTCACAGATGAGGCAAGTAGTGAAAGGAGTGGGTAAGAAGTGCACACAGGGTTATGTAGAAGGTATTATTGAGTGGTTATTACATGCCAAGTTCTCTGTTAAGGACTTTACATGGATTAGCTAATTAAGTCCCATGAATTAACACTGCTATCCCTCTTGGTTTCATAGGAAGAGCAAATGGGACTCCAAAAAGCTCTATCACTCACTTAAGGTGCTGCAGGTTGACAGTAGCAGAGATTATCCACTCCAAACCTAGTGCTCTTGTCATTGGATGCCAACACTGTTTGCTTCTAGTTCCCTAGGGGTGAAGTTATTTCCAGGGAGAAAGTTATAGATTAGACGGGGTTTCTCCACCTTGGCACTAGTGACACTGCGGTGGATCATACTTTGTTGTGGCGCTGTCCTGTGCACTGTGGGATACTGAGCAACAACCCAGCCTCTACCCACTAGATGCCAGTATCAACCTCTTCCCAAGTGTGACAATGAAAAATGCCTCCAGACATTATGACAAAATTGAGAACCATGGTGTCAGAGTTTGCCAAGATATTAAATGGATGAAAAGAGATGATACATGCCTAAGTCCATCTGCTAATAAGTTAGATCCCATGTGTATCTTAGCCTACTTGCTAAAAAACTGTGAAGCAAAGACACTGACCCTGGGAGGAAAGAATCAAGGTTTCCTGGTGAGAATTTGTCAAATATCACCTTGAATCTGTGTTTAGAAACCCAAATATGCCACGCCTCTCATAATAGCAAAGTTCTCTTCTGATAGCCCTTTGTGTTGTTACTGCAGAGAATATTACATATAGAAGACCTGCCACTAATAAAGAGCAAAAATTAGAGATCAACCATATACATCAGAGAGGGAATAGTTAAAAATCCATGATACATCTATTTAATGGAAATATATAGGGGCTACAAAAAGTGTTAGCCAAATGAAAAATGCTAATAGAGTTTTAAGTAAAATAAGCTTACTTTAAAAGTAGCTGTACTATAAAAACAAATTATGTAAAAATTATGTGTAAAAACTGTTATGTATGCATATGAACAAAAACTAGGAAAATAAAGTTTCACATTTTAAAAATAAATTTAATGCTTGATGGGAGCATGGGTTACTGCTTTCATCAGTTTTTAAAATTATTTTTGACATGAATATTTGTAAAATAAAATAAAGATGCTATGATTTAAAAACACACACACACACACAGTCCTTTCAGAGTGGCTCTTTGGATTAAATTATACATTTAAGATAAAGTAGCAAAAATGTGTACTGTGTCTTCCAATTATTACTTGAAGAGTATCCTGCTGAGTTCTGACCCTGAGGAATTACTCTGTAGAGGGAAAAAACAACCAAACATCCAGTGGTCAAATAAATGTGGGAAAAGCTGCAAACCACACTCTCCCTCCCACCGCAGAAATTCAATGGTGACCATTAGCACTCTTAAGAGTTTGAGAAATTGTACAATAGACACCATTAACTTGGTTAACCCAGCAGTTCCCAAATGTATTTGACCATGAAACCCTTATTTTGCCTAAAAATGTTAATCTCCCTGGAGACTAACATTATGTTCTTCCTGGAACACGATGTCTTGTTATACAGTAGGTTCAGCCTGTTCTCTTTACAGAAGTAACAGCAGTAATTGGATAACATCTTAGACTTAGCAAATATGCACCCAAACTCTAGGACACACAAAGTTCCTGGGATGCTGGAAGGAAAAGAGTCAGCTGGGAATATGGGTCCCTCTCTGGGCATGAGACCGCTTCCCAGAGCCTCGGAGACAGCGGCTGCGCTCGCCACGCCCTCTTCCCAGGGCCTCAGTAAAGGCCAACTGAGCTCGGGAACGGGAACCAGGAAGGGAGGCAGAGGGTCCTCGGGCGCGCGCCGTCCGCAGTCAGTCCCGGTTACCTTTTCCAAGCCGTGGTCCAGGAGAACTCTCCCTTGACTTCAGTGATGGCAAGTGGCCCCCCAGCGCGTACTGCTCTTGTCCTCGGCACGGCGGCTCGGGGCCCCCCGGGGCCGGGCCGGGCTCTTGCATAGCCAGCAGGGAGCGCTCGGACAGCACGGGGGAGTTGTTGTCGTAAGGGGAGAGGTCTCCGCTGGAGGCCTTGTTGGAATCTGTGGACGAATGCCTTCCTCCCACCGAAAAGGAAACTTCTGACCGCAGCATGTCAGGGCTTCTGGCACAAGGAGACAATTACAAGTGTGTGAGTGTGCTAACAATTAGCGACCGAATTAAAAAATGTGACCGTTACACAAATGACAGGAGGAGAATGCATGAGCACAGGGCTGAAACAAACAAAAAAAGACCTTTAGAGCAGTGTCCCCAAACTTTTAAATCAATATGGTGAAAGCATTTCCATGAAATTGCCAGCAGAGGACAGTAAAGCTCAACAGATCCTACTAGAAATGTCAAGGTGAAGGGAGGGGAAGGATGAAGGCGATGGATCCCTGTCTGCTCCAATGGGCCTTGCTGCAATGCCTGGATTAAAGCTTTCATTTCCAAGTTAAAGTCTGAACGCCCATGGAAGGTTGCTAAAAACTATGAAAAGGGTAAAAAAATTTAAAATGTCAGCAAGAAACAAAGCTTTTGTCAAAGAGAAAAGATGATTCTGTTTGGGGCAAGAAGAACAAAATGTACTCATTGGATAATTTTAAAAGGGACTGACATCCTGTCGGAAATATGATTTGAAGAAAGGCTTTACAAAGACAGAAATGTCTGAAAAGAGAACTGAGTCATGGACAAACTGTGCAAAAAGAAAAAAGGTCACCACTGGGCACCGATTATAAAAAAAACCCAAAAGGCTAAAATGTCATTATTTTGATCAACCAACCATATTCATGACTATATGTGCGGAAGTGTGTGCTCCAGAATACAGGCAAATCAGAAAATTATGCATATTTGATTAAAATAATAAACATGACATTTAGACATAGGCTGAACTTGGCCAAATTATTCAGGACCTTTAAGACATTTAACAAGAAGTAACTTGGGATTCACATTTGATATCTTTAAAATATAGCATTTCACTTACTAAAAGTACATGTAGCAACCATCAATGATCCTGAATTTAAGAGATCCATTTAATTAAATATTCATATTGTTAAATGAATCTTTTATCTTATTAAAGTAATAGCAACCAATTGATTAAATTGATTGTGGTGAATATTTTGATATTATAGTGATTCTTTCTGGCCAGGGGATACCATTAAGTCAAATGAGATTCTAGTCACTATATCATCCCTGACTGTTGATGGAGAAGTGGCCCAGATCTTAGTTTTAAGGACTTATTCTGTTTGTGGTATCGACTGAAATATGTACTTACTGTAGGGCTAAAGCCCCTGAGGCTATTTGGAAAAGTTTACCTCAGATTTTACACAATCCAGTATATATGAGCATATGTTTTGTGTGTGTATATATATGTACCTTTGCAGCTGTAAAACAAATAAAGTCTGATGCTCACTATCTCTTAAGTAAGGAAAAATTGGTAGATAACTTTTACTTTCCTCAATATTCTGAATTTAAAATAATACAGATGAAACTATGATTGAAACTTTACGCAAAGTTTATTATGGCTTTATGGACAATTTTTCTTAGTGTAATGATGATGATGATGCTACTGGCAGGAATAGTTTCAAGTATAAAATGGCTGAAAAGATAAATATATGACCATAACTAGTGCCCATTGCATTTAACTACATCTAAAGTGATTCTACAAGGCACTAGTTCTTTTTACAAATTGATATAAAACATACTAATTAGCATATCCATTATGTTTTATATATGCACGAATTATCACAGAAACAAAAATAACGGTGAAAATGTGAATGGAATGGGAGAATGAGAATGTCGGGAGCGTGAAAAGACTGTTCGAAGTCTTACCTGTCAACACCTGTTTTTTCTACCTTCCTCAAAATAGTGGCCCTGACAACATCTTGAAGGGAAATGATGACAGATTAAAAATTCCAGATCCTGCTTCTGTTTTCCCACACACCCCTACTTCTCTTTACTAGCCTTTGCTTGCTTTTGTTTTAATTTTTCAAAACAAATCCTTTGTGACCTTAAAGAAGGTAAACACCTGCCTGAGTAATCCTTTCCTAACCAAATGGTTTTGAGCATGCAACATGGAGGAAGGGTGCTTGCAGGGGATCTTGCTTCTTCTTGGTTTCCAGCAGGGGTTAGTGTGCAGGAGAAAAGCATCTCTGCATGTGACATTTGTTGCTGGTCACTGAGACAGCCAGGGGTTTGAGCACTTTTGCTGAGGGAACATCTTATCCACATGGAATAAATAAGTCCTTTCCTTGCCTCCTCTTTAAACAATTTATGGGAAAGAGCCAGAGGACAGCCATGAAGATGATTTTCCAGAAACTTTAGGCCTCCAATGAATGAAGAAAAACTAAAAGGTATTTACTACTTTTTCTGGAAAGTGGGGAAGCAAACTATTTATCCTCTAAATCTAATCAAAGTGAAAAGCGTCTCCCTAATTCTAGTGGAGAGAACACAAAACAACTGAGCACTTGTGTGTTATCATGGGCTTGGCTCTGGGTAAGGAAACTTGATTATGAAAATGAACAACATTGAATGTGTTAAACTGGTAGCTACATGGAGCTCAGCTCAGAATCAGGGTTCTGTGTTCTGACCAGGGCTAGAAATTATATTACTGGACTAATTTCAGTTGTTTTCCTTGTTTAGTTAACATTTTTCTAGTCATTAGTGAAAACATCTTGTCTCCTCAACAAGAATCAGTCATGGTGTTATATCAATAATAGTGGGTACATCAAGCCTTATTTTATGGGATGTTTTAAAGAGTCACGTCAATTCATTAGCCAAAACAAAATAACTATCAGAGCTACAAATACCTTTTTGGCTCCTCACATTGGGAGGAAAGCTTTGGAAATCTCATATTTTAGCTCATGGAGACCCCCCTAGTTCTGTCTCCTGTCTTGCTCATCTGTCTTACAAAACGTACAGAAGAAAATACATTCAACAAAACACTCTTAAGTCGCAGATTCAGGCAACAGTTACGTGCATAAAGAAACATACCCTATGGGAGAAGTTTCTCTGAAGTCTCAGTACTAGGGACATTTGGGTTTCAACCAAGCAAGTAGGCTATTTAACCCTTTGGAACCATGCATCATGTAATAATAATGTCTCTTTCTTTGCAGTGGGTACTAAAAGGCTCCAAGGAATTGGGGCTCCACTCGAGTTGGTGTATTGGAGCTTCCGGTATACCTCTGTGTGTTTCACACCCCAGCTGCATCTCTTCTTCTCATTCTTCCCGTTGTTTTCCTGTCTCCAGTTTCTCAAGTTACTTACCACAATATTGTTCTACTTTACATATTTTTTCAAGCTGTTGAATAAATTGTTTTTGGACTGACATTCAGACAGGGAAATCACACCTACATTAATTGTTGGGGGGACTGAAAGGGCAGTATGATTCATGAGAACATTTAGTTTGGTTAAAATAAAACAAGAATGATAATAACAATAACAAAAGTAATGGAAACTGCCACACTCTTTCTTCCTCCATTTTCATGGTTATGATGGGATCTTATCAAGCAGGGGTGAGAGAGGAAGAGGTGGAGCCACTGTCACTTTCCTCTGTTCTTTGGGCTGACTCTGCAAAATCTCACTCGGTGGCTCTGCCTCAGCAGCAGCCACCTCACCTGGGAACTTGTTGGAAACGCAAATTCTCAAGCTCCATTCTGGATCTACTGACAGGACTGGCTATAATATATGGGGCCCAGTGAACAATGAACATGCAGGGCCCCAAGTTAAAAAATTTAGAATTTCAAGATGGTGACAGCAGGTCATTAAGCCAAGCGCGGGCTGCTGCTGAGTGTGCGGCCCTGTGCGGCTGCACAGGCTGCAGCCCATGAAGCTGCCTTCGCCTGCTGAAAGGGAATCTCTGGGTACAGGGCTAGCAAACTGCATTCACAAAGCCCTCCAGGCAATTTTGATGCATGGGAAGCATGAGAACCTCTGATACCAAACCTACCTTTCATTCCTCAAGCCACACATGAGACAGTAGGCTACGGATCTAAGTCAAATCAGGAGAGAAACCACAAATAATGGCCCAACTTTCCACACTGGCTTACAGTGGGGGTAAATGTTGTGGCCTAGACCTTGACATGGCTGGGGTCACAGCCGAGCAAAGGAGGGAGCGTGTGCCCATTCCAGTGAGCTCCAGTCAGCAAGGTCCAGATGACTGAATGGAGTTTAGTTACTGATCAGAACATGATAAGGTGAGAGGGGGACAGGAAAGGCCAATTTGCCCTTTTCTGCTGTTCTGGTTCATTCTCCTATGTCAAGCCATTAAAGTGACCACAACTGAGGTCAGCAAGGTAGTAGCCAAGTTTGCCTAAGAACCCATAATCCAAGACTTGTCTTTCCACATGAGAGCCCACTAATTAATAACAAAACTATTTTATTCACTACTCAGGATTCTCACTACAACATAGGCAGTTCAGAGTTTTAAGAAATTTTAGTGTAATTTCATTGAGTTTTAAAGCACATAGTGGCCCCTTTTTATATGTCTTGGAATTTAATGGATTTGAGGTTGGGAATGTGGTAGGTAGGTTGCCAGTTGACGTGGGTTTGCTTCCATGAATGGATGGATTCCTCGAGACCTGAAAACCCCAGGACCATCCACAGCATGCATGGCTAGTCTCAGCTAATCAAATAAGCATGAGATGGACATGGAGAGTGAATCACTTTCTCACCCTTGGCTGGTCCTTCCATGTCAGGGTCTAAACACGCTGGCAGGGCACTGTGGGCAGGCCTGCACTGCAGCCGGAAACACTGTAGGTAAATGGAAAACTCCGGTTCAGTCACCGGATGTGGCCAGCCCAGCTCCTTGCTGAGCTACCCCAGTGAGAAACATCCTTGGAGATTTCAAACTTGCATTGGCTTCATTCTTGGCTCAGTGGTTCAACTGATAAAGCTCAGTCTGTTGGAACTCCAAGCACATAACCATCTCAGACACTATTAATTGTACTGGGAAAGGAATCCACTGCCACAGCAGCTCTGGATTTATGGGGGATTTTCACATTAATCATACTCAGTTCTGCAAGGCATCCCTTATGCAGAATCCTAGGGCCAAAGGCATCCTACCAAAGAGAAGCTGACATGGATCCAAACTCCCTCCCAGGACATGAAACTAGCACCCTGGACATTAGA